GGTGGGAGCACTACAGGATGGTCTTGTCCAGGTCGACTTTGAGGGGCAGCGGCCCCGCGTCCTCGCCGTGCGTGGGGCACAGGGTGACGGCGATGACGGGCGGCAGCGGGAAGGTGCCGGGGCCGTCCAGGTCTTCCAGGTATTCCTTGTCCCCGTTGATGCTCAGAGGCTGGAAGAGAGGCAGAGGGGACCGTGCAGCCCCAGAGCAGGGGACAGGACCCCTTTGTCCCCAGCCTGGGAACACCACGGGGCTGGCTGGGGACATACCACACAGCACGGATGTGCTGTGAGCCCAGCACGGTGGCCGGGCACCACAAACACCGTATGGACATGACTCAGCCCCTCACGGCTCACACAGCCCTGATGGGGGGACCCAGGGTGTCAGGGACCCCCATAGGACCCTCCCTGGGCTGCCCTCACCCCGTACCTGGGTCTTGACGTGCTGCTCAGGGGCAGTCACCAAACTGGCACAGCTCAGCCACAGCATCACCATGATGGAGAGGAAGAGGCAGGCGGCCAGGATCCAGCGAGGAAGGCCCGAGCGCCTGTAACACCCCACCACCCCCCGCCAAAGAAAAAGGACGAGTTTATGGCAGGGCACAGGGTGGGAACTGAAGGGGGAGGATCTGCTCGGGGGTGTCCAGCCCCCCAGACCCCACACAGCCCCACTGCACCTACTTGGACATGCAGCCGAGGAAGTCGTGCTCCGGCTGCGGGGGCTCCGGGGGCCGCAGCCAAGGAAGTCGTGCTCCGGCTGCGGGGGCTCCGGGTGCTGCGCCTTGGCTTTACCCCGTGGCTCCTTCCCAGGGGGCTTCTCCCCCTTTGCCCAGGGGCCTGGCAGGGAAGAGGGGCAATGCTGAGCCCAGGCACCCACTATGGGCTTGCCCCACTCCCCATCCCCTTGCCAGCATGTGATCGGGTGCAGGGGTGCTGGGGGTCCCCTCTCCCCCAGGGACCTGCTGGCAGGGCACAGAGTATCCCAGCAGCTTCCTGGAGTGGGTCCCAAGTCTGGACTCACACCCTCTGCAGGGGTGTGGGGTGTGGGAAGCTAATCAGACCTGAGAAGTGGGTAATTTGTGCAGCTCTGGAAAAAACAGACAAAAGCCAGGAGGGCTCAGAAGCTCCTGGTCCCCCCACCTACCACTGGCAGCCC